GTGTGAATGTCTAACTTCAACCAATCTATGAAATTGAGCAACCATTCACCAATCGTCTTCAGTGGTTTGATATCTCCCAACAGACAAATCTGTTTCTTTCTTTATATTTGAATAATTCAAGTAAACATTGATGAGTGATTTCAAGTTGGACATTGAAAACTTTGTCGACAACCACAATCGGATTCTCATCCTGTCACTTTTAAATTTGTATGGAGACTATAACAGAACACAGTTGTTCAACTCTCGAGATTTCATCAATAAAATGTGAAATTACATTCCGTTTCTGAATAGGATGTTATTCTCAATTCACTTATGTAAATAACTGAACTAACGATAGACAGTCTACATGTTTCATGCTCTATCAATCTCCGTCTCTTTCATGCATCTCCCCGATTCTATTTCACAGTATCTGAACAATAGTGGTTCAACAGTGTATGACATCCTGACCACGGGTATGAAGTTTCCCTCTAGTATGACCTAGGGTTTAAGTGTAGTAAGAAGCTGACAAACCAAATAGGTTAAACTTGTAGATATCTCGAATAAATGCAGAGATTTCTGGAGAAATGCATCATTCAATATGTTCGCTAAAACATTTATCAAGTTAATAGTTTTCACACATAATCTGCACATACAGAGAATATTCTCAGACAGATTCGACTTATTCACGTATCAGCTTTGATGGAAAAGACCTGAGATAATGTGTGCGTTATTAGCAGTTAAAATACAATGATAATCAATCAGTGATCAATAGCTAATTGAAACTGTTCAACATGGAATATTCTCCACTCCATCCTGAACTTAACAGAAGCTACCATCTTGAGCTGACATCGCTGAATGTCCGACATTACTGAGTTTTTTCGTTTCAGTTTTAGAATTCAACAACATGTACTAATAACTTACCAATCGGTTTGACTGAACGACGATTCGATTGGAGAGAGTTTTAGACGCAAGTAAATTCGTGACTGCAACAGTTCTTCTACGAGGCATATAGGCAAGTAAGAAGTGGAATACTAGGATAAAGAATCTTGCACAATGATTAACAGTTACAATTACACACATTCAGTCCAGTGTGAGTTCTCACCAACGACCAGCCACTACCCAACAAGACACTCTTGCAATATTTTACCAGTTACTTGCGAGATGATTTTAATCTCAATGTCAAGTGTCATCATCATTCGATCACATTCAATGCAATGTGCAAATATCATTAAGCATTATTGAATACAATCCAATCAAGACTACATTGAGGTATTGCCACAATTTCCTTTTATTTGAATCTGTAGATGGCGTCGAGTCGCGTTTGACTATGATCACCACTACAGTAAGATTACGCGCCCAAAAACAACTTGGTTCCCTCGCTAGCTCATCAACCAGAAGGCTGTAATTATTCCAGATAAAGTATATTTATTGGCGATCTCGTGGTATCGAAAGAATACCGAGACGTGTCAACGAGTACAGGCAATAAGGGCAGAGCGTAAGAAAGTTCGAGCGGACAAGATGGACAACCGAACGAAAAGTGATTTTGATATAGTTAAACAACAACGAGTACAGTAAAACAATCAATGGTATAATTCGTTATAATAATAATAGTTTCCATTATACCAATCACGTTCTCGTCGAGAAAAACAGGTCACTACAAATCAATCACTTAATACAAATCAACTTTGCAAAAGTGAAAAGAAAATGAGGTGTTGGTTAGTTGAACACAATACAACTAACTGTTGTATACCCCCTGTTTATTAGGTGTCTACTACTTTTAATTGTGAAGATATATATGTTGATATACCTTAGTAATGAATGACAAGTGCAATAAAAATAAACGATTTTACATATTTATATTTTCCATTTACAAGTGTCATATTAGTTGGTCTTCAATCATTGCCCACAACTATGACATTATATTAAGCATTTAGACATTCATTGGTTATTTCTACTTCACATTTACACTTCAATAAGTCAGTTATTCATTCAATAATTTCATTTGGTGTCCTACGTCAAAATACTAAGTTAGAATATTGATATGGAAACACTGTTTATACGACAGTCATTCATTTGTACTACAAAACTGACATGCCCCTAAATGCCCTGGTACTGACGAGAGTGGGGAGAGTCCGCTCTTCCTCTCCAAATGCTCTCACATGACCACGCGTATATAGCCTCTGCCACACAAGTCCTACTCACTACCTTCTCACACCATGGATATTCTTCACGAAAGTGAGAGGACGAAAAGCGAAGGTCCAGAGCTTTAACCGGGTTGCGGGACACGAAAAGTTCACCTAGGGAAGTTGGAAAACCTTCATTCCAAACCAATAGTGCACATGGGCTCCAGGATCCTGATGGAACAAATGGCGTATGAATCAATCGTTGGTCACCGGCTACCATGGGACTGCATCTCCTCACGATGCTCCACTGCCTTGTGGATCAGACTTTTAGGTCAAAGGCTCGGGGTGTGACCCCCTAAGAAAACCACGTGCTTCGGTTTGGGTACCTGAGCAGTATCACAGCCCTCACACAAATCGAATGAGATTTGTGAGGCGCATATGCATCTGGTGCCCCTTTGTACCAATATTTATGTGTTCAAATAAATAAATAAATAATAAACTAAACTGACATACACTCGAACTGTATACTTTTGAAATCGGCAATGACTAATTAGTTTTCAATGTTTTCACAATCTTACTTGGATAGCTCTTTTCAGTGTACAATAAATGGTAAAACTAAAGAATTGAGCATTTTGTCACATCAGTAAAACAATGACTGTTATGTTTTTTCAATAAGCGACTATTCACTCGTAAATTTTCGATTCTGAACAAGATGGATTTCATTGATTACAGTAAGCAGTTGGTTAATATTTTCAAATCCTTCACAGCATTCGACGGTCGTCAAAAAGATAATGAATGGATACACTTGGGTCTCAGTGAACGACACACAGATATATTACCAAGGTCTCTAAACACTGATGACGCTTACCACTGCGACCCGAACCATGTGGTTTGAATTTACCCGCATCGCTCAGAACAATGAGCAACTTCTTCATGAATTGATGCTATATCTTGACATGGTCACCTCAAACTTTTTTCAGCCTTGTCGTACACCAGGAGAAATCGCCTGTAGAGGTACGTTGGATTAGGCATACCTGATATATGTTCTAACCACTACACCTTGTGAAGGAAACTGACCCTATCAACTGACTTGCTACCTTTGTCAGGTACCACATGCCAAATATAAAACTCGCCCACTGGCTAGCTCCACTAACCTCAAGCAATCCTTCGAAAACAAATGCAGTACGCGAACCTATGTTAATCCACCTCTGTCCTAGCTTATGCATTGACTGTCAGTGTTCACTGACTGCCTAACCTATAAACTACATTTTCTCGTGTATTCTGATTTCACAGTATCATTCTCAATTAACTTGTGAATTCACTTAAAATCCATTCTGAATTTATCTGCTATGAAAAAAATTAGTCGTCGTTAAACATCCGATGAGTCAGATCAAAATACATCAGAAAAAAGTGACGCAGTTCTATTATCAATTTTGAAGTGAATCTATCTGATTGTCGAAAAATACCAGATAGTTGGAGAAAGTTAGATTGGAAGTTCGAGAAGTCCAGATCCATTTTGTACCAACAATTGTCAGTAACAAATATCTAAAAGGAACTGATATTACCAGAAGTACTATGCTATAAATCACAAAGACAGATACTATTATGGTGATATTTGTCTTAGTGTACAAATCTTAATCCTTGAAGTCACTAACTTGTAGTTTGAGCCATGTTGGCAGATGCAGACTACTTGGTTAGGGTCTGCACGACTATCGTAACGAATGGTTGGAGATTCTATGTGACATGGCTCAGAATCGATCACAATGGCGTAGGTGTATACAGTCCCTGTCTTTCCTCAAACTGTGAGATTGAAATTGCTTCATACCTTTCATTCTTCCTGTACTATATCATTATATGCAACCTTTCTTCTATATACTACCACCACTAAATTAACTACTTCTATGAATTCGGTGTTCATCTTGTTGCGCTAACGAGGTATGGCAACGTGGACCGATGCACATATGTGCCTGGTTCTACGTTGTAGCTGACTGACAAATCTAAATATTCACATCATTTACTTGCCAAGTAGAATTCAATCTAGTCCTTAGTCCATGGATCAGTGTCTTAGTGCTTGAAGTGTTCCAGTCTTAACTACAAAATCGTAGGTTTGAACTCAACTAAGTCTAATTGTGCTTGAACAACCGTGTAGCATCCCTAGTCATCACGCTTAAGATTTGTTTCAAAACTTTATGTACAAATCTGTAAAAATGTAAATAAGCCAGTAAATGGAATCCCTGAATATAGCCGGTTAATTAATTTTCACTTTTTTTTGGGCACCATCACTGATGAACACGGTGGACCAGATGCAGATGTGAGGTCACTAAGCGGCAAGGCAAGGGCAGAATATTTACAACTGCAGAATATCTGGAACTCAAAAAAACTATCTGTCAACCAATACCAAGATCAGAATTTTCAATTCCAATGTCAAGACAGTTCTACTGTATGGGGTGGAGATGTGGAGAACTACGAAAGCCATAATCCAGATGATACAAGTGATTATTAACAATTGTCTGCGCAAGATATTTCGGATCCGTTGGCGAGGCACTATCAGCAACAAGCTATTGTGAGAGAGAACAAACGAGATTCCGTTTAGCGAAGAAAGAAATCAGGAAGAAGCCCTGGAAGTGGATAAGACACACATTGATGAAATCACCCAACTGCGTCACAAGACAAGCCCTAACATGGAATCCTGAAGGCCAAAGAAGTAGAGAAAGACCGAAGAACATATTGTGCTGAGAAATGAAGACAGACATGAGAAGAATGAACAACAACTGGATAGAACTCGGTAGGAAGGTTCAGGACAGAGTGAGTTAGAGAATGCTAGTCGGAGGTCTATGCTCCATTGGAAGTAACAGGCGTAAGTAAAGTAAGTAATTATTTTTCACGACAAACAAGAAGTTAATAAAAGTGAAATTTAATAAATTTTGCATGACAACATAACAAAACAAAAAAAAACTCATTCATAGTTACATTGATCAACAACTTCGAAAGGGAAAATTACATTTAAATTACTGTGAAAAAAAACAGAAAACATTCAAAGGTTCATTGAAAACAAGTTATCAAGAAGAAATCGTCAAGTTATTCAATATATCACGATTAATATTGATCTATTGGATTTGTAACATGTCCAAGAAATATTGGTAAAGAATCTTTCCATATAATTGAAACAAAAAATGAATGATTCACACGGAATTCCTCATCAGAGAATTCAGGTAAAGGTGCAGAAAGTTGTACAACTTCTACAGAAGACGCTGCAGCTGCTACTACACCCTGTTCATTTACCTATTGACAAAAATCAATAAAACTGATATTAACAATTTTTTAAGTGGAAGAAACATTAGAAATGGTTATAATACTTTATGTTACATGGAATCCCAGATTTACTCAGTATCATATTGTCTGAAGCATTCATAGACGTGAACAGTGTATGAGGGATTAGACAAAAAAGATTAAATAATGTTGAGGAGGGTTTTGTGGAGATTTTAGTAATTTTATATAGTTGAGATCATGAGACTGGTAGGTCGTAGGTTCGAATCTCGCGAAACGGGATCGTCGATGCGCACTGCTGAGGAGTTCCACAATAGGACGAAACAACCATCCAGTGCTTCCAGGTGGTCTAGCTTCAATTGACTAATGATCTCAACTATATAAATAATGTTGAGTTACCTTGTCTCCAATGTTAACCAAACTCTATGAACCAATGTGGTTCTACATAATAGTGCATCTTGCTTGATTCTAGGTAAGTAGAAATATGTGCCAAATAATTGGAAAACGGAAGTCAATACCGTAATTCAATAAACTAACGGTTCCAATGAGTCATTTTGGTCATGGAACACAAAAACGTCTATTCCGATATTAAGTTTATTAGACTACTGATAATACTGCAGCTAATGTCACAAAACTTAATCATCTCTAACGAACAAACAATAGGACATTGGTCACAATTCAGCTCATACAGGAGATCAGTTGTAGCATAAATAGCTCAGTGGTAACATTTTCGAAAGTGACAAGGGTTGAAGTGAATTCGGTTATCACAGAGGAAGACAGTTCCCCCAATGTTTCAGTCTACGTCCTACAGTAACAAACTATCACTTGATCTAGGTTAATAGTTTCGTAACAAATACCTCCAAGCATACGTTAAAATTATGCTGCGACTGGTCGTGACTTTTTGACAAACTAAAAAGATCGTTTCTCCATAAGTAACATTATCCTGAACTACCAATGTTGTTCATAACTCCCCAGAAAATACTGTATTCAAAATTATTTAATGATAAATAAGTTGAGTGAAAAATCAAGAAACATTATCTTGATGAAGTCCATCCTTGTGATACACAATAGTGATGTTAAGCTGACATTCAGTGTTTCGATAGAGTCCTACGCATCAAACTGACAAGTGGCTTTATATGTTGACAGGTATGACTTCAAATAAATAGCAGGACGCATTACTCTCAAGTATGGGTTGTTGTATAAACAAGTAGGAAGAAATCAAATCTCAACCATACTGACCATATACAACCAGAGCTTCAATTTTATTACATAATCTTAACAGGTAAAAGCAATCTAACAACGAAGTTTGTTGAGAAACACAAAATTTATACAACTCACTTCAAGAATAGCCTTATGGAGTATATCTCGTATACAAAAATTACTTGACTCAGACATATTTGTAAAGTTAGCTGATCCTGGATAAAAAGCCTCTTTCATTCCCATTTTTTGTAGACAGTCTACAAGGCTTATAGCATTGCCTTCCTTCAATTTGAACTTTGGTAAGTACAAATGCAAACTGGTATCCTTAAAGTTAGAAGAAAGAATCGATGAAATTCCATCATCTCTATGTAATGCATCTAGTAACTCAAGTAATCCATCATTTGTGTTTGGAAGAACGATCAATAACGAGAATCTACAACAAGAATAGGTTAAAAAAACACAATATTACAAAATAGAATGTCAGGACACAAAATGAACCATCATTAATATCTCTATACTTCATGATTGAATTAACTACCATTGAATGAACATCACATGGAGGTGAATTAAAATAGTATTGGTTCTTAGAATTCGTTTACCAAATAATAAAGTCAAATATAATTTGCCCAGAATGATTTTTATTTATTTATTTATTTAAACACATAAATATTGGTACAAAGGGGCACCAGATGCATATGCGCCTCACAAATCTCATTCGATTTGTGTGAGGGCTGTGATACTGCTCAGGTGCCCAAACCGAAGCACGTGGTTTTCTTAGGGGGTCACACCCCGAGCCTTTGACCTAAAAGTCTGATCCACAAGGCAGTGGAGCATCGTAAGGAGATGCAGTCCCATGGTAGCCGGTGATCAACGATTGATTCGTACGCCATTTGTTCCATCAGGATACTGGAGCCAGTCCATGTGCACTATTGGTTTGGAATGAGGGTTTTTCAACTGCCCTTGGGTGGACTCGCCGTGTCCATCATCCTATCAATTTCGTAAACAACACTCGTGGTGCGAGAAGGTTGTGAGTAGGACTTCCCTGTCAGAGGCTATATACGCGTGGCCATGTGAGAGCATTTGGAGAGAAAGAGCGGACTCTCCCCACTCTCGGCCGTACCAGGACATTTGGTTGAATACTATTTTTAACTTTCACACATTAGATTTTCCTTGTATCTTAGTGTCCTAATAAGTAAGTATCTGGTGATGTCATTTTAAAGGTGTGTAACATTAGCAAAATCAAATATTGAACTTTTTGTAAGTCTTACCAATCTGTATAAAATGCGCATGTTCACAGTCCATTGTATTGGTACATTTATAATAAATCTATATTGTTTGCATAGTAGCATGAACTGTAGCATCAGAAAACAATCACTAACAACTATTTAGAGTGAGTGAAGTGAAATAATCACAATTTTACACCCTTGTCTTTCTAATATCGTAGACATTTACACATGAGAATAAATCATTTTAAAGTGTTGAACATCACAGCATATAGACCAAAGCTATCTTGTAAATAGTTTACAATTCACAAAACTGAGCCAATTCGACCGTATCAGGCTTATACAAAAACTTACCTCTATATCTGTTTTTCAGATGTGTTTATCACTCTACTTAGTTGAAATACTGTTTACTCATCAAATCCTATATAAAATTCCTACACTTCTGGAGATCGTTTTCAAGATATCTGAAGCTTAATACTCGTATGATGATACTTGATTAGGCAGAATATGATAGGATTGACAACACGCTCCTCATACATTGCACCTCAATATACTCAAAAGAGAGTTGATCTAAAAAAAGATTATCTTAAGCAGAATGACACAGAATATTTAACTATCAAGCTGACTAAAGAGAGGAAGAAAGGCCATCTCATGTAATCGGTGGAGTACCAACAAGTGTTTTAGATGCTTGACGTTCTGACTTTACCTAGCTGACTTCAATAAAAACTAAATGGATCAGAGTCAAGTTTAGAATACATTTTGAACTTTCTTTGTGGGTATGTGAGGATCCTTAGAGGTTCCTAACTATGAGTTTGAATCAAATAAGTTCGTTGTTCGTAGACGGTCTTCTGATGGTTCACGAAACAAATTAGTATTTGGTCGTTTATCTCTATACCTAAAGTCACATGACAAACAAATTACGGGATTTGTATTACTTTGTCCTTCGTTTTTTCCGTAGTTTTCAGTTAGTATCCAACAAAAGGTTTCCGCAAACATGTGTTTCACAAAATGCTGAATACAAAATTTTGCAAAACATGAAGAAATACCAAACCTAAAATCTGAGATCAAATTATGTTTTCAAGAGTAAAGCAATTAGTTATTGAGAGCTTAACATTCAATTGTGACTGGAATAGTATACACTTACGTGTTCAAAATGCAGAAATAAACTACGCTTAAACAGACAATACAGCGACATCATGCTGTTTAAACTTTTAACTAACAACCTTAAATGTGCAACAGACCACAACCACAAAGTCCATATTTCTTAAACGAAAAAAATTAACAGTCACTGACTTTATATATATATATATATATATATATATATATATATATATATATAATGGTTCTACCCAATTATTTACAGGTGTTTATGAATAATCACACTTTGAATAGTTAAAACTAATAAACTAGTGCTTGGACTACTAGTATGTAGATCACCGAAAACAAACGTGACGTTTGTCTTAGAACTCATTAAAAATAAATATTCTATACATGTTCTGAAATACACACACTTACTTAGGATTTTTAAATGGTATCTTAATAGCACGTGATTTCAAATTTGGTAAACTGGTCATGTCAAATGAGGAATTCATATACATTAACTTCACGTTCATCGTTGATCCGTCAAGCTTAAAGAAGTCGCTTTCGTGTGAACTTCCCTGAAGAAAAGGTAGATCCCACATACCTAGAAGATAAAAACTGTTTATGAAGTTGTTGATAATTAGAGAAATTATAAACAATAAAAATATGATGGAATCAAATTTTAAAGAGCATTGATAAGTATCGTAGGTTGAATAAATAAAATTACCTTCGAAATATGTAGTAGTTATTACCAAAACTGATGTGTCGGTTGATAGCGATTGAGACGAAAGGAGTTCTTGAATTTTTCCTTTGGTCAGTGAACTAGCCCATTGGTTTATTCGTTTTCCAGCATCTTCGGGATCCATCTGAAACGCCACCTACACAAAAGATTGGTAATTCAAGATATAAACTCACAGATTCCGTTTGTGCGTTGTAATAACTCTTAAGAGTATTTTGATAATCTTCTTTAACATTCACATTTTCTGCTGTAAACAATCCGTTCCCAAAGATTATCTCAACACCTTCACCTCGTTCTGAACAGTCAAACAAAAGTCCACTGATTCCATAGTGAATTGCATGATGTTCCAAACAATTAGATAAGTGCATCACTTTCATTATCTCTGCTTTTGTATTCATTTCACTGCCAGAAAGGATCATTCCCAGGGCAGTGTATATATTAAAGGGAGAGAGAAAAGTATTCTCTAAATGACCTAAACACATCAATAGGCATATTTTGAAATAGTGACTTACTCTGTTTTTCTTCTACTATATCTCCATAAAACCTTCCGCTAAAGTTTGTAAGGGATTGTAATACATCCATTTGTTTGTAATCTGTTAAAATAAAAGCAGTAATAATTTGTTTATAGTTCAAGAACATTCAAGACATATCAATATATTTTTATTTAGAAAAGGATATTGATAATCTAATTGAATTACCTACAACAACTGAACACAATTTCTATCGTGAACATAATGGTTTAGTGATTTTTTCCTACTTTCTCAGTCTCATTAGCTTTCTTCTCTTGATTTGACAAACTGGATGTCGCCACAGTAAAATCTTTTTTTGTGGTATTTGTGTTTATCCGACTATTGCATCGATGAGCTGTGCTACTATTCTACCGATACATTCTAAACTTTATTCTTACGAGTAATACACACCCGGAAGTCTTGCTACTGAATTGAATCTAAATACTCTGAAAATGTTGATAGTATTGGATTATAGGACTGTTTATTGGCAGATCCATAATTTACGGACAAACAAACTCATTTAGGGACAGCAAGCCTTGCATTTTGGAGCGAAATTCTTTCATCCATTTAGTTACATACCTCACTTACAGACCATCTTTGACCCTAGTAAGTTGATGGGTTGTCTCAAGGTTACTTATCGTCGCTCAAGATTCGTCCACAAATAAAGTCTCACCTGTTAATCTTACAAGTGTACTTGTAACCGAATACCTAGAGCCATATAAAAACAAGAAGTAAACGCAATGAAACCAATTGGTTCATACGAGCTCGTGATAAAAGGATTGAATATTAGACTACCGATTAGAATTGATAAAAGATAACCACTTGTCAGAGTAGACGCTTCATCAGGATATAAAACAAAATAGGTATATGTAGCATCACCAAAAACTAAAATCGATGTATTTTTAGTGAGTTACTCTGATCAAGTAATTCTCATTGAAGTTAGACTTAAAATAAACCTTTTAAGGAGGGCTCTAACGATAAATATTGATTTGTGCAAGGAAATTCCAAGGAAATTAAGAATATTAGCTAGCTAAGGAACAAATATCGTCTAGAAGTCTCATTTACAATGATGTTATTTACCGTGATCCAGTACACAAATATTTCAAACTTTTCAAACATCGAAAACAAGTAGGATTACCAATATGAATGTAAATGAAACAGATATGTACCTCTAGGACAAGAAAACAAACCAATACCCGATATGCGTAAACACCAAACCAGAAAATTTGAAAACTAGCTACATGGTAACTTGCCAAATATCGCTACCTATATACGTCCTAGTCAAGGTTGTTTTCAATTTTCAACATATTTGTGCTTACGTGCTTTATAACAGCTATTCTCCTAGTTTTCAGTTCTCGATTTTTAAGTTCTGTATCATGTCTGCCATTTCGTCTAGTGTGGTTAATCCAGCCATCAGACTACACTGCTCCAACCGAATTATATCAGTGTTTTTTGAGTTGGTGTAGAGATAAGAGCGGTGTAGTTGTTGAACTAGGAGCTGTCATGTTGCGTATGTCCACATATATAATTTTAGTATAAAATCTGTAAAATTTAAATTCCAGTAGGTGGAAAGATAGTGAATGGTTTAATACAAAGTCAAATTAAATAACTAAACAAGTGAAATACACAGATGAATGTACGTGGACGCTAAATAGATAGAGAATGTAAGGAGGTTAAGGTGGATTAACAAAGTTGATGTTTAATTAACTGCATTTCCTTTTGTATGCAGAACTAGTAAAGCTAAAGAATCTCTGATAATTTGAGTGGTTATACACGTTTCGGCGTTTCATGAAACCCACTATTTTGATTTTAGTACCTACAACCGTCGTGTAATTTATCAACGACACCACCCGCTATCGACTGACAAACCAGTCATCACTGCAAGTGAAATTCGTGAATTCTAATTAATGAAAAAGTTATGCGTCACCGATATTTCCAAACGAATGTCAGTTGACTCATTATCTGCCGAAAGTTCCATATATCCTGTGGTCATCAACAGTGTGAAAAACGAGGAACATCATCCACTTGCTTTAGCAGCTCTGTATTTGCAAATATCACCGTTTTGAAGCTGTTCACTCGGACAGTGAATATGTCTTCTGAAATATCCTCGAAAGAAATCCTGACACAGAGCATCTTGTTTTTCAGTAAGTGTGAAAATTGTTAACCTCTTTAATCTTCGTATCCTTAGAGGCATAATATTGAAAATATTACGGAATTAAGCCATCTTCTTGACAATACAGAACGTTTCCCCATTATCATGACCTATGAATTGACTCAGGCGAACAAAGTTAGTAGACGGACCTCTTGTATTCTCGAAGGCGTGCAAACTGGTTCCCGAAAGGCTTCAGTTGGCGAAATTCCTATTCAAGTAAACGGTGATCTTAGGAACTACACGCCTATTCAAAAGCCTGCCGATAGCCTCGTTGCTTATGGCCCCTGAAGATAGATACCAGTAATTGGTGTGCAACTGGTAATTACTGAAGACCCAATACTTCAACCACTTTTTGTCGTCACCCCTTGTCAAAAGCATTCAAGACCTGACACCCACCTTAAAAGTTATGACTGTCTCTTCGAAAATCGATTCTGTTAAGACAAATATTGAAGCTCCCCGAAACGGCTACCGTCACTTTCTCAGGACACTACGAAATTTTTTGAATGCCTTTTGGCTTAAGAAACGCTGCACAAACTTCTCAAGAAGATTCACTGATGAAGTATTCAGGAGTCTCAAGTCCATGATTGCGTTTGGTAATTACTTATTGACCATAAGTCCAGATAGAGAATCCCATTTCCGCCATCCATTTATTGCTTCTAATGACTGTAAAAACAAGACATTAATACGAATTTACTGTATCTGATCGAAAGCGACTCCTCAGAATTTGTTGTGTGTAGTATTGACATTCAAAGCCTTCGTCTTCTTCTAAACAGAGAGATAGTCAGTCACTGGTAACAGTCGAGGATTGAAGGGAGTTTAACGGTCTATTGCGTTTTCAACGACTTTTCATACAGGATCGCGCATCTCCCGTGAGATTATTAGCAAATTGACTCAGTGGAAACTCAAAATGTATCGATTTGAACGACAACAATAAAAGGTTGAATCTGCTTCCCTCAGTACAACATAAGGGATGATATCCAGGTCAGAAGAAATGTCTTTTTACAAGTTCTCCTGTTTCTTCTGCATCAAGTCAGCACTCAGGTTGATTGCTAAAGTCCCGTTGAGTTGCAGGTGAGGCATTCATCAATGTGGTTAGTATGGATCGTTTGTAATATTCGAAAGTACTGTGTTTTCAGAATGTTAGCGGCTTCACCGTCGTTGTTGATTAGGTAATAATAAAAAATTATTATCAATTATGTAAAATATCTCAAAATCAATTTCGCTCACGCGCCTCAACTAATCAGCTTTCATTAGTATTGTCGTAGATGTTTCTGACTTGGCAGTCAGGGTATTCTTGAAATAATTGCCAAACAACACTCGGCAACCTTTGGCATTTTTATCGAAACCATTAAAAGACATTGAATGAAGGTGCAGTACTTTCAGCAGTGAACTTCTAACCATTTATTGCTCTGTATGGCTCTATTGATACTCTTTGTTGTGCCGATACTTAACCGTGTCCACGGGTCATAAACACATAACCTCTTCATGACTCGTTTACAAACAATCGCATTACTCTAAAGCCCCCACACTTGGATATCTTTCGGGTTACTGTGGATAGACAAAAGATTCCTAAGATAAACAATATGGCTGCGTACTTCTTGTCTCGCATAACCTCCTTCAATACTTTTAAGAACTTTGACTTCTTAAGCTACCTCGGTTCCCGAAAGAGGATGTCAATCTTCAAAATATGCCATGATTGACAACTCTGAAATCACGAATTAAACAAATAAAAACTGATAAGGGAACCCTACTATGAGACAAATCTACGAATATAGATTATCCAATCTTTCTGATACATGATCTATCTAATATCTTTCATAAAATACACAGATTTTCGTATCCGGATGTTTCAACGACAATCAAGCTTATATCAGCGTGATTTCCTTGGCCTAGTATGATTAAAAACTAAGATATGACGATGTGCAGTCATGTATGCTGTCAGACATTGAGATTGATAAAAAACAATAGGCGTCTTTTAGGTTCTTTTGCAACTGTAGACGCTCGTTCGGACAACCTCGTGGCAAGCATGGACTACCTTTTGACCTTACTGCAAACTGTGGATGTTTTTGCAAATGTGGACTTCACCTTTTATCTCATCATACTCTTAAGAATCACACTACAGGGAACAGCCGCCTAAAATGCACAAGCCTACCTGTCGGTAAGACGATTCAATGAACATTTGGAAACCTGGATTTTATCTGCAAACGCTATACCAAAGCTCTTCCACATATTTTACTCTGGATTCCAAATGCAGTAAAGGTCAGCGGTGTTCGCAGTTAAAACAAACAAGTTTATTTTGCGAAACTTCGGCTTCAGGGAGAAATTGTAGAACCTTTATCTTAACTACTAAACATCATTCTAAAATGTTTCCACCTGCAGGCTACTAAACACATTGCGTTCATTTAAACCTTCTACTATCCAATCGTAATTAACATTTCTGCATCTAACCAGTTTTATGATCGCATTTGTACGTTCTTGTAAATCAGAACTCATTACGTTGACCTCGAAGGCAAGCTCATAGGGTTCAAAGTTGCTCCTGGTCATGTCTTAGAAACCTTACTACCGTTCTGAGGGTCCCGCTGACACAATGAGTTTTATTGGACATAACTTTAGACGAGGGCCATTGGACGAGCATCCGTATCAGATGACGCTCGAGCGCATCGAGCTTCGTATCCCTCTGAAAACTCAACTTGAATTAAATGCTCCTAAACCCATAGAGTATCTTACAAACAAGTCATCAAAACCTCTCAAAACTAACCTCTGAATAGCCTGATAATAAGATATTTGAGTGAAAACGTATTACGGGTCACATCATTGTCAAGTGTTATATATATCCGTAAACGTTTCTACAGCAGTGAGGACATAGAACAACAAGCAAAAGAAGCTGTACGAATATGTATCTTCTGTATTGTCTGGACTCAAGAACTCACATAGATAGAAACATTAAATACAAGCGGCATGCCATCAATATCAGAAGGTAAACATTTAAGAGATTTTCGTAACGAAGATAAGTAACTTGAATATCCATGAGCTGACTGTATTATATCAATTGTTAGATGTGAAGAGTAAGTTAGCCGAGTCAAATTCAGAATAAAATTTGTGTAAAATAACCAATTTAACCTTCCTGTGACATATTCACATTTAAAATAAATATGTGCACTGATTACTGGGTGAATGACTTTCACGGTTACGCAATCACATTTTTTGCAGATTACTAAGGGCTATTAGAATTTATTCTATTGTTGAAATCGTTAGTCAATCGGACCTAGACCACCATGGAGAACATGGAAGCACTGGACGGCCGTTTCGTCCTATTGCGAGACTCCTCAGCAGTGTGCATCGACGAACCCGCCTCGCGAAATTCAAAACAAAAGACCTATTAGTCTCGCACGCGATCGCCTAGGCACTAGATAACTGGGCCGGCAGGCATCCATTGGTGTTATTGTTTAACTACAACCAGTCCACGAAGTTGAGCAACCACTCACCAATGTCTTCAGTGAGTTGATATCTCACAATAGACCTGGTTGAACTCCAGTGCTCACTGCGTCTCAACAGATCTCTAAAGAATACCCTTTGAAGGCGGTCACTAGTGAGCATAGGTCCTAGGTTCGAATCTCTCAAGGCGGGATCGTCGATGCGCACTGCTGAGGAGTACCACTATAAAACCAAACGGCCGTCCAGTGCTTCCATGTTCTCCATGGTGGTCTTGCCTCAAAAGACTCATGATTTCAACTATATAATGGTAACAATGTTTACACAGCATATTCTCATTCATCAATAATTTACACATTTGAATAGTTTACACTATTATATGATTATTATAAGTAACCAGAAATATTCACACCATATAAAGTGGCCCAATTGTAATATGATACTACTTATTATTCAAATAATCATTTGTTGAGAATATCTCTATCGAAAGTTAATCAAGTGTCCGAGTTGTTATCATCATCTGATGTTATTTTTCATGCGAAATATCACTGGATTTCCAAAGAGCTTTCGTTTTAGTTAATGACAACACACTTAACATGAGTAATTCATTATACAATTAGGAAATGTCAGTCATTATCATTTCAAAGATTGTAAACATACATTGTCAGGTGGTTTTTTTAG